GAGTCAGCCTTCAAGAAGATCCACAAGTCGCAGATCACATCAGAGATGGTTGTGGTTGACGCGATCTGGGTGCGGAAGAAGAAACGCTATCCAGATGGTAGCATCCGCATCAAATCAAGATTATGTGCAAGAGGATTTCTCGATGCACAAAAGTCAATGTTGACCACAAGATCTACGACGGCTACCCATCTCAGCCAGCGATTGCTGGTCAGCTATGCTGCTCAAGATGAAGAGCGAGACGTGGAGTCTTTGGATGTTGGAGGAGCCTTCCTGAAAGGATTCAGTTTCCAGGAGATTCAGAAGGTGCTTCAAGAACAAGGACATCAAGCCCCTTCGAGGACGGTCATTTTGCTGCCTCCACTGAATGTGTACAAGCATCTTGCGTCTTTGTCAGACGATTTCAAGATCCCTGAGGCGAGCATCTATGACTATGGTCTCCTTTGTGTGAAGCCAGTGTATGGCCTCAACGATGCACCCTTGGCCTGGCAACTATGTTTGCATGCTTTCATCAAGCACCACAATGGGCATCCCTCCAAGATGGATGAGAACACCTTTATGTGGAAACAAGATGGAGCTTTGGTTGCACTGGCCACCACTCATGTGGATGACATCGCATTGACTGCGAACAAGAGCTGGCTGGATACTATGCATGGCCACTTTGTGAAGCGCTTCAACAAGATCACTCGACAGCAGCTGCCCTTCAACCACTGCGGTTGCTTTTATGAGCGACTTCCTGGCGGCTATCGCATCAGTCAAGCTGACTTTGCCAAGAAGCTGGAGAAGGTCAAGATTCCTGAGAAAGGTGACTCTGAAAAGCTGACGCCAGCTGAGACCTCAAGCCTAAGGTCTATCTTGGGCGCTTTGCTTTGGGTGACTGCCACAAGACTTGATGTAGTGGCAGATGTGTCAATCCTGCAAAGCAGAGTGACAGTGGCAGAAATCCGAGACCTGAAGTACGCCAACCAGGTGGTCGACAAGGTGAAGGAGTTCCAAGACGTGGGACTGCATTACCGTTTCCTGAAGGCCTCAAACCTGCGATTGGTATGCATCCATGATGCTTCTTCAGCGAGTCGAGGACGCCACTATGCTCAAGAAGGACTTTTGATCTGCCTGACAGAGGACAAGTTCGACAGCGAGAACCTCGACTATGAGACCATCTTCAACGACGGCGACGGCCCTGATGGTGTGGACCGTCATGGAGGAGTGATGCATGTGCTTCACGCCAGTGGCACAAAAGCCAAAAGGGTGTCCTACTCGACATCACATGCAGAGACCCTCAGCATGATCAACGGCGTGGAATCCAGCACATTGATTCTGGTGCGACTTTCTGAACTACTACATCCTGAACCTGCACCTTCTCTCCTACAGCTCACCAAGATTCAGGAAGAGGGCAACAAGCTGATCCCTGTGGACTACTACGGCGATTGCCGAGATGTCTTTGAACTGGTGACCGGAGAAAGGACGCTTCCTCAAGACAAAGGACAACGACTGTACGTGCTGTCCATCAAAGAAGCCAGGTTGATGGGTAAGATCAGGATGCTGACGCTGATCCCTACACAGTGTATGACAGCCGACAGCCTCACCAAATCGATGATTCATGCAAGCATGCTGCTGCTCCTGACGACTGGCCTGATACGATTCTTCAACGTGGACAAGCACCATGTCACCACAAGAATCATGCCATCAGTCAAGGACTACGATGAGCACGACTTGATCAAGAACGACAAGCAGATGCTGGAAGAGATCAAAGGAAATCCGGAAAGAACATCAGCAAGTTTCTCAACAGTGCTCAGTGGCTTCATGATCCAGGACAAGATGACCGCACTTTGCCTCTTGGCACTGGCTACACCAACGGCATCAGCGATGGAACCACACTACATCGACGACACCAAGAAGGCCCATGACGAGGAGTACACGCCGAGCATGTACACCTTCTTCTTCCTGCTCTTCTTTGCGGTGGTCTTGGCGCTCTACCTGGAGAAGCTCTGCCGCTATTTGCTGGACTATGCCCTGACGCACCTACGTCTTCGTCTTCGACGACGCTGGAAGGTGAAAGAAGAAGAACCTGATGAGGCAACTCCCATGGATGTTGATGCTTGGGAGCCAACGAAAACTGAGGACGACTATGAGGCAGAGATCAGATCTCTCAAGAAGAAGCTGCGAAAGTTGATGGAAGACAAGGAGGACCTCATGGTTACCATCCAAGTCAAGGAAGATTGCATCAGCAGTCTCCAAGACGAGATCAAGGAGAAGAACATGGAGAACATGTCCGGTCAGGACTTCCGAGAACGACAAGAACGCCAGATTGACAAGCTGGACGTGGAAAAGACAGATGCCGAACGAGCTCGAGATCGTGCCCTGGACGAGATGGACAGGATCACCTTTGAGCTCGCAAACACACAGAAAGAGCTTGCGAAAAGGGAGAACGAGCTGGAAAAGGTACGTGGTCGCTTTGACCGACTGGAAGAAAAGCACAGCAAGCTGGTGGATGATCACGATGAGTATCGTGAAACAATAGCTGCCTCAGCACGGCACATTACCTACCTGCGAGAGCGACTGCACCGCTATGAAGCCGTGCATGCTGCTCCACCAGGAGTACGACAGATCGTGCCCGGAAGCTCAACACCTACAGCTGCTCCTGCGCCTCCGCCGGCCAACACTGCAGCCGAAGAAGCACGACAGAAGATGCTGCAGGAAAATCAACAGATGAAGGAAGAGAACCAAAAGTTGCGCGAAGAAAGTCAAAAGCTGCGAGAAGAAAACCAGAAGCTGCGCACTGACAAGGCCTACAACCAGAGCGAGATCACGCGGTTGAACCGCCAGCTGATCGAGGCCCGTGCACCAGCCACGGTTTTCTACACTAGGGGTGGAAGCTGCTACCACAGTGACAGCTGCAACCACCTTAGGCACGGCCGTGAGGAAAGACCACGAGCCGAGTTGAGGAAGTGCAAGGATTGCTTCCCGTAGCGACATCGCCACAAAAGGTGACCGGAGTGAAGTTTCTGGTCCATTGGCATGTCATTTCATACAGGTGTCACACGTCGCCAGACCGAGATTCCGCAGGGCGCCTTTGAGCATATCAAACCGAGTCCATACATACCATACATACCATACATACCATACATACCATACACATGAAATGTAATTACCACACCTACCATACATACAATAGCAAACATACGTGCCGTACATACCATACCTACCTTACATAGGAAATATTCCATACCCATCATAGTAACAATATATACCATACAGACCATACATACTGTCATATCAAACATACCATACCCAACAGACTTACATACCATACCTACCATCCATACAATACCAACCACTCATGCCATACATACCATACCTACCATACATACCAAACATACCATACTTTCCAAACATGCCATACCAGACCGACCACACACACCATACATACACAACATACCATACCACACCCCCACCACACCACAGGGGGGGGAGGGGGACAGTACCACACACCCACCACGCCACAGGGGGGGAGGGGGACAGTGCTGGATCCCCAGGTAGCACCCCCCTTCCCTTCTATTTGCAAGCTATTGGCAGCATTTCTGAGGTCCAGCTTCGTATTTGCTAGGTCTTTGCATCATTTCTGACTACCAGCCGCGCATTTACTAGGTACATGCTACCTTTTAGGCGACCTGCGTAGCACACATACTCCTTCAAAGTATCTACGTGCTACCTATAGTCATATATACATGTGCTATGCATCTACTGTATCTACTTCCTACTTACTACCTGTGTACTCTGACAACACTACCTGTGTTTAACATATACCGTACCTACCATACATGTCAATGATGCCATGCATACCATACCTATCATATCTATCATACATACCATACATACCATACATACCATACATACCATACATACCGTACATACCGTACATACCATACATATGAAATGTAATTACCACACCTACCATACATACCATAGCAAACATACATGCCATACATACCGTACCTACCTACATAAGAAATATCCCATACCCATAATAGTAATCATACATACCATACAGACCATACATACTGTCATATCAAACATACCATACCCAACAGACTTACATACCATACCTACCATCCATACAATACCAACCACTCATGCCATATATATACCATACCTACCATACATACCAAACATACCATACTTTCCAAACATGCCATACCAGACCGACCATACACACCATACATACCCAACATACCATACCACACCCCCACCACACCACAGGGGGGGGAGGGGGAAGATCTCATATGGGGCCAGTATATGGGACCCATCCCATGTGGGGGGGGGGAGGGCTGGGGGTGGCAGGGCCTGGTGCATATATATATAATTATAATATATATTATATATATACTATATTATATTAGTGCAAATGACACATGTGGTTCTTATGATTTTATATGTGAAAATGCCACATGTGGTCGTTTTTATGTTCGTGGTCACCACTTCTCCATGGCACAGCAGAATCCAGCCAGGTGATGGTGCGAGCGATTCATCATGACATGGCAAATATACTAAACCCAGACTCCTGGTGGAGAAAAAGCTTTCACCATGTAGGAAAAACCACTTTAGGATTTTGTCATGACAGTTTTTCCATCCATTTAGGGTCATGATTCAAAAGCTTTCACCCGTATTAGATGTTTTTTTTTCAGTAGCATACTGATAGTTTTTCATCTCGAAAAATGGAGCCATGTGGAAAACCCAATAATCAACCTCCGAATTGGAGATGGTTGAAAAAAAACATTTCTGTTGACATTTTGGAGGGGAATAATCTTTGCTTTACCCTCCAGTAATTTCATGTAGCCATGGAAAATGGTCCATTTACAGATGCAGCCATGGAAAATTCGCCATTTATCCTTATTTTAGATGCTATTCGCAGCTAGAAAACTCTACAGGGAGTTTCCCAAGCTAGCCACGTTTGCCACCGGAACCAGCCACTCCATGGCCATGGCTGCTTTGGCCAAAAAAAGGTTGCCGATGACTGGCGATCGGTCTTGGACCCCTTGGAGCGTATCGTGGACAAGGCGGTTTTGGGGATACCTCCTATGGCCATCACGACAATCCATCAGACCATCTTCAACAACTTGGCTTTCACCATATCATCATGTATAATCCGTATTTTTTTTGCAACTGCTGTATCTTTTGGATTCAATGCGATCTTGGCAACTTGCGGGGCGCCGGGGTCTTTTGGAGCCATTCCTATGTTTTGGCCATGTATCTACTCTACATCAAACCCTTCATCTTGGTTGGTGCTACCCCCTAGTTTTGGATAGTTTTTGGTTGCTTCACATCCTCATTTGCTGACATCACCAATTGGGATGCTTGAGCGGTGATTAGTGTGGCAAACCTAGTCGTAATCATTTCAACCTCAAACGGGATTGGTGTGTGTAGTTTTTGATGACCGCCAAATGAAGAGGTCTATGTTTATATGATCCAATATCAACCCCGAACTTGCGATGATTCACAATTTGTTTACCATAGTTTACAACCACAAGATAGTCAATGACTTACCAATTTGGTGTATTTAAAGTAAGGCAGCCCACTAAATGTGTTGAGCATGGCATCAGCCATCGCTTCAGCCAGGTGGAAATGGCCTTCTCCGCTGTTACGCACGTACCTTGATCTTAAAGATGGGGACAGGTGCCATGGGCTATCAGCAATTCTTCATGGGGAACATGATAAAACCATGGGGTTGTTGGGGTTTTTAGGGTTAAACATATGGGGAATGTCCCATTGATTTGTTGAGAAAGTTGGTGGGTTGGTGGCGACAGATTGGATGCGAAGGTCCCAGGGTCCACCGGTGAAGACTTGTGGTGGATGATCCCTGGGTTGGATCTATTGCAATCACCCTGCATCCTGCGTTCACCAATGTCGGCTTTGCCGGAGAAAAACCATGGGACATCCAATTCATTTTTCAAGAATAAGAACAAATTGGATTTCCTTGATCTGACAAAACCATGGGAAAAAACATGGGAAATCCAACAAGAGTCAGATCTGTTTTGTCACGAATTTTTAAGTTTTCCTTTGGAAAATTCAAGCCTCAAGATGCACATGGACCGAAAGGGCTGTTGCAAATGTAGCCATATGGCAGTGTTTATAGGGGATGCACAATTCTGAAAAGGTCGGAAAAGGTGCATCCTTGAAACCTTGAAACAAATCCGGAACTCAAAAGTTGAAACCTTTTTCAACAGTTGGATCCTGTGGAAGCTTCCAATCCTTCACTGCTCGAGGTGAAGAACGTCTTGGATCCATCGATGAAGTTCAGGAAAGCCTACCGCAAGGCTGCGCAGGCCTGGGTATAACCCAAAGGGTATCACGGCTGTGATCGGGGGATTACATACCCCATGACATATCATGAAATATCTAAATAAAACTCACCATTGTTTATGACCCACTACAGAATCCATGTATTTTAATAAACACAATCCATGAATCCATATTTTTCATATACATAAATATGAATCCAGTTTTAAACACCATGTTTATGACTCAGTACACAATCACTCCCATGAATCCAGATTTTTGTCAGTACTGAGTCAACATCCGGTTATCAAAAGCCAGGCTCGATGGAACATCCAGCGACGCTTGCGACGCTGCGATCGCTTCTCTAGAGCCTTTCTGGGGCTGTTGGCCTATGATCAGCAGCCTGGCGTTGAAAAAATAGGGGAAAACTGGGGAAACTGGATCTGCTTTGAATGATGATGGGATGATATGTTTGTTTTCTGTTTTTTTTTGATTGGATGATTTATTTGGATAGTTTCATTGGATAATCATTGCATAGTTATCGGATTTGAGAATAGTTATAGCTCTATGATGCGGTAGACGCAATAATTGTGGGACAAGTATGGGATAATTAGATATTGGAGAATGTGAGCTTTTTTTTGTCAACCACATGAGGTGAATTCCATTTTTTAAGAGCCATTTCTTTGAGAGGGTGGACACTGGATGATGATACCCTGTGACTTATGTTTTTGGGATGGCTTGAACACCACTAACACCAGCGGTTGGGATGACTTTTTTCATCCATTAACCTACAGGTTTGCGGTAGGTTTCTCATAGGTTTATGGCAGTTATGGCTTAGCCAGATGGAGCTGGTTTTTCATTAATTATGGTCAACATGTAGCCGTTCCTATTTTGGTCTTCACCAGAGTGTGGCACTTGAAATTGTCTCCAGCAACCTCACGTACCACCATAGCTCGAAGTCGGTTTCAATGTAGTGGCCAACATGTACACATCCGAATGGTGACCTTTTCATTATGTTGATCCACGATTCCGAGAATGGGTATGTACATGTACTGTATATACTGTATATCTAAGAAACAACTTACATGATGTATTTGTAATAATACTCATGTGAATCCCATATGGTATATACTATAACAACAATTATGATGTTTCCGGGAATCGATTTCTCTCCACGCCATGTTCAGTGGGAACGAAGGATTTTTCGGATTTCGGGATGTCGAAGGTCTGGGGATGGAATCGAAATCAGCAAATCCCATGGATGACCCATGGATGACAGAGAGTTTACTTCTGAGACATGTGACATACCCAAAAATTGCAACTCTTTTCAGCCTGTTGCTGTTGGCCATATTCCCATCTCATCCATCTTCATGTTCATTTCATTTTCGCCATAGGATTTCGTACAAATCATATTCAGTTTGGTATTCTAGATCCATTCAGCCAAAGTGGATGGCTCAGGAATGCTACAGAAGCGCAAAGACGGGCAGCTGCGTATCTCATGATTTTGTTTGAACAGGCCAGGGCCGAAACCTGAGGTCGCTGAAAATCGCTCGATGACTGGGAATGGTCAGTGAGAATGACTTGAAGATGTTGATTTTCTTGATAAAATGATACGAGATGATATGAGATGTCCAGAAAACAACAAGGAAAAATCATTAGAACATCGATCCATGTACGGTTTTCGTAGGGTTTTTCTTCACCTTCCACTTGAACATTGTTGGTCCACCCTGCACGGATCGATCAGGATGGAGTGAATTTGCAGCACAATGGGATCTATCGAGACGACCCTGATGCATTTCTGGAGCTGCAGAAAGTCAGAGGCGCTGTGACTTGACAGCCAAGTGGAGTTGCCAAGTGGATGTGAGGAATTGCTGGATATCTGGCTGGATATCTGGCTGGATATCTATGGATATCTGGGCTTAGATTTGAAGTGGTCTGAGTATGACGTTCTTTTCGATGTGGTTCGATGATGTTCTATAAATATCAACGGCTCAATGTAGCTCTGCCCAACTTGAAAAATGTTGGTACTGTTCCGATCGTCGCCTTACTAGCCATTTTCTTCATCCATGGGATAGGACTATCCATTTAAAACATATGTATATATATATATATTGTCCAACATCTAGACAGTTGGATATCCCCAGCTATGCACACTTTCTGATTCTAAATGATGTTCACATGTCATTTCTGCTAGGGTCACCCAGAAGCTGCTGGAAGCCGGCGTCGGGACGGGTCGACGGGTAAGGTCTTCAACATCTCCTTGATCTGGGATCAAAACATCGATCGAGACATGGAGAGTCGTGCTTACCTCATACGCAGCTGGGCTCAGAGGTGAAAACCAGGTGTTTAGACGTCACCAACTTGGAAGACAGCCTCAGATTTATGATATTTATGGCCTTTTCCATATGAAAAAGGACGTGAATCTTCGTAGTTGATGAACCATTTCTCCAAGCATTCAACCAGATTTTTCCTATGTTTTCCCAGATTTTTCCCATGGTTTTCCCATGTTTTTCCCATGTTTCCACTGTCCTACACTGTATCCGACACCGCTTCGTCGCGGTTTCTGAGGAGACAAAACGGAGCTGGAGGGCGTCCCTGAGTGGATCCTGAAAGATGCAGTGGAACTTGCCCTCCAGGTCTGACATAAACCTGGGGTAATCTATGGTAAAAGTTATGGTAAAAGTTATGGTAAAATCTATGGTAAATCTATGGTAATTTAGATGGGAAAACCTGTTGGAAAATCTATGGTTTAGATGTTTTGGAAAAGCTATCGGAAAATCTATGGTAAAAGTTAGGAAAATGATGGGACCATCTATTGGGTTGATTCGGATTGAATCTCCCATTGGATTGGAACATCGATTGGAAATCTGATGAAAACGCCTCAAAATTCCCAGTGGATTGGACAATCATATGATGTCGGATTCCGACTATTCCATGATCACGGATGGGGGGGATACCCATTTTTTGAACAAACCTGGTGAAGTTGAAATCTATGGTTGACCGAAAAAAAGATGCAGAGAGGCAGAGAGGCCAAGAGGCAAAGAGTGTGTTTCAGGTTCTGATTCCACCAACAGTTGGCATTTTCAGGTTCTGATTGGGATTTTCTGGTTTCGAAACTCCAAAGAAACATAGATCCGAAGTGGGTGCCATGGCATCCATGGCATCCCCTGGTGCCAGGCCGGATATCCAAAGGCGAATCTGGAAACTGGACCTTGGTTGATCTCCATGCACGACAGCATTTCAGAAGGCGCGGATCCTACTTGATATCGAGTCAAGCCGAAGAAAAATGTCATCCTGTGGCTGTTATTATGCAACCCTGAGACTCCTGAGACTGATCAAAAAAAGATATCGTTCATTCTACTTGTCATCAGGGGCAAAGCCATGCGAGTATCACTTCCATATCATCCACGGTTAATGATGTTAATGGTTGCTGAGTTGTTTGGGTGATGTGCGGGACGATTCTTGCTCCTATACCTTTGAGGAACCCTTTCTATTCAAGGTTTCTCTTTCAAGGCGGTGAGTGATACACCCACGTTACATACCTGGCTTTACTCATTGCTGACATCCTGATTCAACGTTGGCAACTCCCCAGTTAATCCCATGCGTATAGGTAAAATCATTGATTGAAGTTATATGTCCCTCATGCATCCTCATGCTATCTCATTTATTCTTCCTCAATCCCCACTTTTAGGCAATCTAAATCCCCACTTATACTTTTAGATCATCACATACCCTTTGGTTATTTGTTACATAGCCATGGGAAATCACCATGCTATTAATAGGTAAACCATCTATTTCTATGGGCCATCTATACCATGGCTATGTAACAAATAACCAGAGGAACCCAACAACCTCATCCCTTCCAATGGTGCCCTATCGATCCCTATCGCCCCGTAGGCGTCTTGAAGCACGCCAAGGGTCGCGGACTACGGGAGGTGGTGCACGAGAATCGGGCGCGCATCGCCTTCCTTGGCGGCTCCGGAAAAGGCGGAGCACCAGGGGGTTGGAGGATGAGAAATGCGAAGAAAAAGATGGAAGATCTATGAAGATCTATAGGTGAAGGTAGTTTAGTTGGAATTACCTCCTTAAAACGGCACTTGAACATTTGTATGGAAGAGCTGATCTTGTTCTTTTTCACATGTTTTGAGGAAAATTCGAGTATTGAGGTTCCGGCGCTTCAATCGCATCCGGAGTTTTGGATTCTGCTACCATCCACACCGGCAGCGCCCCGTCCATTAATCCATCATTGTATCTCATGAATAGCAGTTATATCCCAGTTGTATCCCCATTTTTCCCCATCAAATCCCAATCAGCTCTGCAGTTTCAAAGATTGGATCACCATTTTCCTATTGTTATTCCCATCAAATCAGCATGTGGCAGGAGACAACACGCCCATGCTGGAGCAGCTTCTTCAGGTGCGCCGTCGCTTGGCGAATGTGGTGGGCTATGCAACCCACGCGGACGTGATGTTCACGCGGGCCATGGCAAGCCCCAAACAGGTGGCGAACACCGGCGCACTGGGGCACTGGAAAGAACTGGGCTGGTTTCTTTACCCTCTGGTAAACTATCATTTTGCTATGGATAATCACAATTTTTAATGGGAAAATCAACTATTTCGACTGGGCCATTTTCAATAGCTATGTTAAATTACCAGAGGGTAGATCAAAAGACACATTGTGGGACAACGAAAACCACATTTTGTCTTCAGGTTTACGTTCAGCGCAAATCATGATGAAATTGGGGCCAATGTTGATTCCCCCATAGTGCATCAACGCTAGCATTCACTGAGGGACTGGAAAACATGAGTCAATTTCTTGGTGTTGATTTCCCAGTTTTTTGGTGGCGCTGATTCTGATGCATGCCACTAACGACGAAGGCTTATGGGCTGCTCAGCAAGTTGCGACAAGAGCCTTGGCAATCATTGAAATCTGCATAAGAAAACAATGTAGAATCCAGATCACCATACCACATTATTAACCACTATTAACCACTATTAACCACTATTAACCACTATTAACCACTATTAACCACTATTAACCACTATTAACCACTATTAACCACTATTAACCACTATTAACCACTATTAACCACTATAAATACCTATTTACCCATCATTAACCACTATGAATGTAGAATCCAAATCTACGATGCCTGGGTCCGATTTTGGGTCTTGGACAGTGAAATCTGATAGCTGTTCATATGGCTATCCATCATCTGAAGCAGTTGAGTTATACAGTTATACAGTACTAGCCCAAGCAGTTGAGTTAGCTGTGTTCGCGTAAAGTCGCATATAAATCGGCGAATGTCAAGTTGAGTGAGGGAGTGAATGAGTAAACAACTACCTGATTCAAAACCAAGAAGTATTCAAAATTATTCAAGCATACTTCTTGGCCTTATTAACTCCTGTAGAATCTCTATTGTACTAGGGTTCCTTGCACTTTTTTTTTTACTTACACTTCCCAATGATTAGCTTATGGGTTGCCATTTTTACGAGTTGAGGTGGTCTGATATTTTGCTTACTTCTGTAAAGGAGCCATAGGCATCCCTTCTTTTGTTCGGGGAAGTCGGCAAATGGATCACATTGTTTGAACATGTCTTCTTTCAGTGAAGACCGAAGAAATTCTCAGAGGACATGCACAGATGCCTCAAGTCAGTTGAAACAACGATGATTCGAACATGGTGCCATACATTCCAACCAGCGCAAGCTTGCTGGTTGGGATCCATTGTATTGATCATGAATTGTCGGTATTTCCAAAAAACGTATTGGGTGCATTCATTTTTACACATTGAGCATTACGGTTCATTACCCTCTGGTTATGACTAACATAGCCATGGGAAATGGCCCATTTATAGAGGTTTACCTATTAAGAATGGTGATTTTCCATGGCTATGTTAAATAACCAGAGGCAATAATATCATCAACGCATCGTCATACTATGTCATAGTATCTCCGGATACACAAACTGTATGGAAACTTCAAATGAGCCCGTAAGTTCAAACTCGCTCCACAGGAAGCCTTGCCGGTCGCCCGCTACGAAGCGGAGGAGTTGAGGAAGTTCGCAAAGAGTCAAGGTGCGACCACCAAACGCATGCACGATATGGTCGCTGTGCCATTGGCCATTGAATTCATTTATTGGAGGTACCTGCCATAAAGGGCTATGTAAGGGGATATGTCCATTGACTTTGTGGATGTTTGCTGCTATTTTGCTGGGATTTGCTGGACTTAAATGGAATCATGATGATATTTTCTGATAGTTGCTTCATGATATTGAATAATATGAAGTTCATTGCGCCACCCAAACAGAAACAAGTTTTCGCCATAGATTTATGGCATAGGCATAGATCAGTCCCTGTAATTATATCTTATGAGTACGGGTAGAGTTGTTTTTTTTCCAGCGAATGCATCTGTTCATTTTGGTGTTCTCCTTTTTTGGCGGCTATATAGAGCCGTCATTGTTTTTCTTTTTTCCCAGCCACTTCTTCTAATTCGGATTGGCTGTATCACTCTGTATCACCGTTTTTATGTGCTGTAGCAGTTGTACCACAATTATAGACGTTTACCCTCTGGTAATTTAACATAGCTATGGAAAATCACCATGCTATTAATGGGAAAATCCATTTCGACTGGGCCATTTTCAATAGCTTTTTGTATGTTTACCAGGCCGGGTAGCCCAACTTTTGATCACACGTCCTCCATTTTCCCTGAACAGGTCTCTGGTCCCTTCCCTCCCCCAGCGTTGAAGGCGCCACTTACGAGTTGGATGTGTACGACTTGGACTTCTGGCGCGAACGGCTGATGGAGGAGAGCTTGGGGCTCAAGGAGGAGAAGCTCGGCGCGGCTCGTGGTTTTTGGGGGGTGGTTGGTGGTGTGGGTAACTCTAGAAAGAGACAAAAAGATGTGTAAAACCCAGCATTTGTAGATCATTTTCCAAACGAAACCATGGGCTTTTCACGTCTATGTAGGTTTACCCCAGGGTATTTGGGTATCAAATTGAGGGAGGTCTTATCCAAAAACAGCGGTTGGGATATACGACAAACATCGACACACCATGAGAATATGAGAATTGAATCTTACGAATCAATCTTACGAATCCATACGTAAATCAACGATAAACGGGCCGTTTTCCATAGCTGTGTGAAATTATAGCTATGTTAAATTATAGCTATGTAGTACTGTGTATGTTTATGTACTAAAAATAGGATCAACCATGGCCAACCCAACTGGTGGGTCCGGCTGAGGTACATCCGGCAGTTCTTCCCTTTGGACGCAGTTCTGGAGGGTCTCTTCCATCTGTTGGGTGAGCTCTTTGACGTGGAGGTGCCAAATTTCAGCCTACCACGATGGTTTCGGTTGGGGGTGTTTCATGTGAATGGGGGATGGGATCGTGTGTGTCATGTATCTGGTCTGGTCTCTACATCTCAACGAACACCCTTTGTGCAGTTCCACTAGCCCATGAACCATCCAAGAACAGCGTGTTTTTCACTTCCGGATTGGTTCCCCAAGAACGGCACCAGGGGAGATGCGATCGGCGATCTGCATGATGGTTCCCTGCATAAGTCCCAGCATTTTCGGATGATTTTGGTGTGGAAACCAGGGTACCTGAAATGACCTATAATCATGTTATTCTAGTATATCCCAGTATATATATATAAATCCCATTATATTTCCATCCTATACCCATGAACATCCCATTTCTTTCTGTCATTTGATCTGGACTTTTCATTTGAGGTCCGAGAAGAGCAAAACGAGTTGAGCTGGGCCAAAGATGTGCACTTCTATCGCCTGGTGAATCGCAGTACCGTCCCTGCGCTTTCCATGGAGGGTGGTTGATGGTGGATGTTGGAGAACTGGTAGATGAAATGATGAGGTGATTCTACACCTTGATTGTTAGTTACAGGAAAGTTATGTGTATATATTATACTAGGATAATACATACATATATTTAGACATACATTATTTGAGAATATTTGAGAGGTCGCATGTACATGTACAGACGACCCACAACTCGCGTGTATGAATGAGGCTCTAAGCCCTAAGCCTTTTGAGATACGGAGTTTCTTGACTGTTGCCCGTCTCTGGCCCTATAGAAATATCATGAAACATCAGGGAAATTGGTAGCTTGTAGCTTGAATTCTTGTCAGGAAACAGACCCTATTCCAGTCACCACCTGCCATGTATAGGCTAGCATGTTGTACATGAGAATTCATTTAAGACTTATGGCCATGACTTTGGCTCAAGCATCAGCGTGATAGGAAAACAAGCTGCTTGCTGCATCTTGGGGCTGTGCGCCCCGCTTTCATGGTAGCGGAGCCTTCGGGCTTAGCACTCTGCGGTTAGACCCGCGGGTGCTGCTGGCTGCGGATTGCCCCGCGCCAGCAGTTGGTTGCGGGTCAGCCCCGCACCAACAAGTGGCTGCGGGCTAGCCCCGCGCCACAGCCAGTTGCGGGCAGACCCGCACTGGCAAGACGGCTCCTAAGAAGAAGCCGAACAAGCGTGGGAAGCGCTCGGCAGAGCGCACTGAGGCCCGGCAACAAAGGGGCCAAGAAAGAAGGAGGCTCGCCCAACAGGAGCGGGTCGAGACGAGTTATCCCGAACTGGTAGGGGGAGCCAGTTCATCTCGGGAAGCCCCCACTAGGACGGTTGTCGTAGAGGACACAACCGGCCCGAAGCCAAGAGTAAGAAGGACTCCCAGAAAGAGGGTCAGAGAAGAAGGGGGTGTACGAGTGAAACGCCTGGGTGTCACCCTCATCAACCTAAGGGAGCGGGAAGCACCGCCCCTTAGACTCAGGTCAGTTGCAAGGGCCGGGACAGGTGCCAAACTCAGGTCAGCTCCAAGACGGGAACAACATAGAAGGCAGGTTCGTGAGAACTACGCCGAGGGTGCCAAGGCGATCCAAGCAGCAAGAGGAGTCTGGCATCAAAGGAGGTTTGCCCAACGAGTTCAGCTGACAAGGAGCATTCGAGCTCTTACACCAAGAGGCACCGTCGGAGAACAGGTGCGCAGGCAACTTTCTGAGGAGTGCTCGAGTTGTGACGAGCGTACCAAGAAGAACAGACCAGAAGCTGCAAAGTTTGCCAACAAAAGGCTCAAGAGGTTGACCTTTGTCCCTGTCAAGCCTGAGTTGACACCGCTATTGCAGAAGTACCACGTTCCAACGACCAAGAAAGCTAAGAAGAAGGTGGTTGAAGAGGACGACGAGCCGGACACCACCAACCCTGTGAATAAGAAGAAAGATGGACCCCCAGATCAATCAGATGGAGATGGGGACAGCCCAGATTGGGGAGCAGATGACAGCTGTGCTGCAGCAGTTGCAGCAAACTAACAATCTGGTTGGGCAGATGGCCCAAAGAATCACCTCTCAGGAGGAGCAGATCCTGAGAATGCAAGCTGAGAGGGCACGTGCAATCTCCATCAACACAGTTGAGGAGGTGCCCAGGAATTCTAGCGCAAACGCCGCTAGTTCCTCAGGTTTTGGAATTGTGGACACCAGAACCTTGGGGAAACCAGAAGTATTCAAAGGGGATGCAACAGAGTTCCCCGATTGGTGTTTCATCTTCAGGTCATACATGTCTTGCATCAACGTTGCATACAATGACCTGATGGACCGGGCTGAGAGAAGCCAAACGCCATTGCCCAACAGAGCGCTCTCAGAAACAGAGAGGACACTCTCAGGCCAGCTGTACTTCGTGCTGGTCATGCTGCTGAGGAACCGGGCATTGGACATAGCCTACAACGCTGGAGTGTCAGAGGGCATTGAGGCCTACAGGAGACTCTACCAGCAGTATCACCCCAAGGTGGCGTCAAGGTTCGTGGGGAGTTTGTCCCTCATCTTGGCCACTAAGTTTGGCACAGACATCGAGGCCGAACTCGAGAGCTTCGACAAAACAGTGCGCCGGTACGAGATGGAGTCGGGGAAAACCTTAGATGAAGAAATACTTTTGGGTATAGTAATTCAAGGGGTTCAGGACCAATCAATGAAAGAACATCTCATCAAGAATGCCGCACGTCTCAATACGTATGAAGCTGTCAAGACTGAATTGTTGGAGATGGCTAGGACTAACCGTGTCCTGCAGTCCATGCCGGTTGCAATGGAAATTGGTGCAACCCCCAACGCCAAAGGAAAAGGAGGTAAGAAAGGTAGTAAAAAGGGTGATGGAAAGAATTCCAAAGGTGACTCCAAAGGCAAGGGTAAAGGTACCCAACAAGCCCCACAAAATCCAAACAAGGACAAATCCTGTTTCTACTGTGGTAAGCAGGGGCATCTCAAATCAGAATGCAGAAAACGTAGCAGTGATGAAAAGAATGCCCAAGGTAAAGGTAGCAGTAAGGGTAAGCCAAAGGCCAAGGCTAACCCCGGGAGCGGTAAGCCCCGCCCCAATGCTGCAAGTCCTGATGATGAACCAGAACCACTCAGCGCCTACCCTGAGGAGACGCTCATTGCAGCTGCCGTCAACAATGGCACGCAGGAGATTTTGGTGGACACCGGGGCTGGAAGTCACTTGTTTGTAAAAGGGTTTGATAGCCATGCACGTTCAGTTTCAAAAGGGTCAAACGTTGGTATGGTTACGGTTACTGGTCAACCCTTAATCACTGGGGAGTACAAGAAAAGCACCATAAACACAGATGCTGGGAAATTCACGATCGAATACGCAGAGTCTGACAAGATCAACTTCTCAGTGCTCAGTGCTGGCAAGGCGGCACAAAGAGGCACGTGGACTGTGATTGGTCCAGACGCTCAGTTTCTTGTCCCCAGCAAATCCAGTGAATTCATCAAAGCAGCAATTGAGAAGACCCCCAACAAACTTGGGTTGGTAAAGAAAAGGGGCGTTTATTGGTTGCCGGTTTCACTTGAAAAGGGTTCAACTGGTCATGATGACAAGCCCTTAGCAACCATGGTAGATAAAAGCCCTGGAGGGGTAGCGGGTAATGCCGCATCCCAAAGTGCGGGTAGCACCGCCAGCTGTGTGGGAAGCCCCACCGGCCAGGAAGTGATGGCAGCCATCAGACCTGCCAAGAAAGCTGTTCCAGCGGAAGCGTTGGAGGAAGAGGCGCGAGAACCGGGTGCAGTTGGGGAAATGGAAGTAGAGGACCCCCAACAAGTTGAACCCCCTCTCCCTGAACTTGGGGAACCGCCTGCAGAACCATCTGAACCAGCAAGGCCAGTAAGAGCCAAGAAAATCCCAGATACGGTCACCAAAGCCGAGTATGACAACCACATGATTACACACCTTCCTTTTAGAAATTGGTGTGAGTTTTGTATGGCTGGAAAAATTCGTGAGGATAGTCACCGTAGAAGAACTCCAGGAGACGACAAGGAAGTCCCCAGAGTTTCAATGGACTATTGCTTTTTGGGCAGAGTTCTTGACAACACCAAGTCTGAAGAGACAACGGTGGCTGAGTTGAAAGAGCCAACAGAAGAAGCAGAAGGAGTCATGCCCGTTTTGGTAGTCACTGACGAAAGAACAGGCTGCGTTTTCAGCAGCGTTGTGCAAAAGGGAGTGAATGATCACGCCGTCAATGTGGTAGTAGAAGCTTTGAAGTTTTGTGGTAGACAGAAAGCCATCCTGCAAACAGATGCCGAACACAGCATCAAAGCACTTGCAGAGGCATCAGCCGTGAAGTATGGCAAAGAGGTGCAACACCAAACTGCGCCACGTGAATCTCACGCGTCCAATGGGGCCGCTGAAAGGGCGGTACTGGAGCTCTCGCGACAGGTGCGCACAAACGTGAACGCACTGTACAAGGACTTCAAGCTGAAAGTTTCCAGTGTTTCATACCCGTGGCTTGTACGCCATTCAGCATGGCAATTGACCAGATTCCTGGTGAAGGCAGATGGGAAAACCCCATATGAACGACTCAAAGGTCGCGAATACAAAGGTGAAGTTGTAGAGCCATTTGAAACTGTGCACTACAAACTTGCGCAAGACGCCAAAGGCAAGCTGGACGCTCAGAGCGCCATTGGCATTTGGGTTGGAAAATCCCTGCAATCCGACGAACACTATGTCGGAACAGCAGACGGCATCCGTCGCTGCAGAAGCGCGTGGCGCAGGCCAGAAGGGCGACGATGGGAGCTGAAAAGATTCGAGGCTCTCAAGGGCGTTCCGTGGCAACCCAAAGGCGAGCCAACCTTGATGCCAGGAGCCCCAGGCACACCAAGGATTGCAGCGCCAGGAACACCAAGCGGACGCGCCCGAGGAGTGTACATCACAGTGGAACGGCAGATTCGCCATGGATCCACAGAAGGATGCCCAGGCTGTCACAGCTCAGACGACAACCCAAAGCCACACAATGCAACATGCCGAGCAAGATTCGAAAAGATCATCGCCGAAGAGCGAGCGAAGGCACAACAAGGCGAAGGAAGTGCCAGCACGCAAGTTGAAGACTTGGAAGCGCCAGTGACCGACAATTCCTCGTCATTGTATCGCGACAAGCGAGAGGCAGCGGGAACCGCCGCGCCTCAGGGAGTTGCGGGAGACTCCGCACTCTCAATCGCACCAAGGATCGCGGGAAGACCCGCATCCTCAGCTGATCCTGCGGGAAGCACCGCGGCTTCAGCAAGTGCCAAAAGACCCACAGAGGGCACACAAGAAGCCCAAAAGAGGCTGAAGGCACCAGATCCAAAGGGAAGCAAACGAAACCCTGAGGTCAGTGTCCAAGAGCTGCAAGACGCAGAAGACATCTCAACATTGCTGCTACAGCAAGACGAAAGCACGCATGCAGAAGAGAAAGGCACTTTGCCTACACTCCATGACGTGCCACTCGCAGCAATTTTTGAGGATTCCCTCCTCGCCGGATACCCAGAGTGGGGAAATGTGACATCAGCTTTCGACGAAAGATCAGGCGAAGCGCTGCCTCTTGAAAAGGTCAAGACCGCTAGGGGCAGAGAGCTAGACAAGATGATCGAGCACAACGTCAAAACTGACATTACGTGGGAGGAGGCCAGACGACGTGGATTGAAGATAGTCCGTAGTCGCTGGGTCGACGGATGGAAAACCATCGACGGAGATCCAAGAGGTGTGAGGTCCAGATGTGTAGCCCAAGAGGTGAACACAGGTCCTAGAGAGGACGTACACTCTGGAACCCCACCGCTGAAAGCTCACAGGATGATTTTGTCCTGTGCGGCAACCAAACGCAAAGGACAACATCAGCACGACAAGCTGATCGGACGTTACGACGTCAGTGTGGCATTCTTCCATGCCACATCCACCGGCAAAATCGCCGTGGTACCGCCGGATGATCTCAACGATCAAAGACACCTATGGTATCTCAACAAGGCAATGAATGGAACTCGCGAAGCGAGTCGCCAATGGTCCGAGTTTGTAGACGGAACTGTGACCAGGAAAGGCGGATTCAGCAATGTGCCAGGAGTCCCCGGAGTGTTTTATCACAAGGAGCGGCAAGTCACAATGAGTTGTCATGGGGACGACTTTCTGGCCGAAGGCCGAGCGGAAGATCTCGACAAATTGGATGAGTTCATGCTGCAACATTTTGAAATCAAAGTGTTGCCGCGAATCGGCAATCCTGAGCACGGAGGTCAGTGCCTGGAAGGAGACCATCTGCGCAGAGCAATCAGGTGGACAAAAGAAGGGTTCACTTGGGAAGCAGATCGCAAATACGTCAAGCTTTTGACAAAAGAGCTTGGGCTGGAAGGAGCAAAAGGAGTTGACACTCCGAGCTCAAAACTGACAGGTGCTGGCTGCAGAACCAGCGACAAGCCGCTAGACGCAGCGGAAGCCTCAAGATTCAGACATCTTGCAGGGACAGCTCTTTACTTGAGCTTGGATAGACCTTCTATCCAGTACGCGTTGTCAGAAATCACTGCCGGAATGGCAAAGCCGTGTGAAATCCACATGTTGCGACTCAAAAGACTTGGTCGCTACTTGTTGAAGTTTCCGACGGAGACTTGGCTTTTCGCCTTACAAGAAGAACCTGAAGAGTTCCAGGTTTACACAGATTCTGATTGGGCATCAGATGCAGTCACGCGCAGATCAATGTCCTGCCACATGGAGCGATTTGGTGAGCATCTGCTAGACAGTGGATGCGCCAAACAGTCAACAGTTGCACTTTCGTCGGGAGAAGCAGAGTACTACTCCTTGACAAGAGGAGCTGCAATCGGACTGCTGACCAAGCACATCTTACAATGTGTAGGGTTCAATCGAGTCAAACAGGTCATGCTGACCGACTCGACAGCAGCGAAAGGCATCGCCCAACGTTCGGGCACAGGAAAGGTCAAACACCTTAGCATCCGTGAGTTATGGTTGCAGGAGAAAGTCCGTGCAAGAGAGCTAGCTGTGCGGAAAGAAAGCACAACAACGAACTGGGCTGATTTGGGCACGAAGTCTCTAACAGGCCCAAGAATCAGCGAACTGGTTCAAATTATGCCACTCTGCAGGAGAGGCATTGTTGTAGCATGCCTGCTGTGTATGATGAACTGCGCAGCAGCACAGCCAGAGGATGAAGAGAAGGACTCAAGCATCTTTAGCTTTGTGCTCTATATGTTTGTGGTTCACATCCTTGCACTATACGGGCTGTTTTCAGCCGTGAGAAGAAGGTTCATGAGAGAAGAAGTCTGCGAGAAGATGATTCAAACAGATGAGATCAGGGCAGACAACAGAACTACGCAGACATCCACTGCGCAGAGCACCGCAGGTTCTTCAACATCCATGCCAGTATCAGGGCATGGAGGGGAACAAAGACAGAATCCAAAAGCAAAGCCAAAACCAAAAGCCGAAGCGAGAGAACCACAAGATGACCTAGTGGCTATACTTGGAGGCGGTGTACGGTATCATCGCATGAGCTGCGGAATGGTGAGAGCTTTCCGTGGTAATGTACAGAACTGCCGCAGGTCACTAGCTGTTGAACGTGGCTACACGCCATGTAAACAGTGTGGTGGTTGAAGTGTTTCACTGAAAGTCAGCCAAATCACTACATGATTCAGCTGTGGAGGGGTGTCAGGAAACAGACCCTATTCCAGTCACCACCTGCCATGTATAGGCTAGCATGTTGTACATGAGAATTCATTTAAGACTTATGGCCATGACTTTGGCTCAAGCATCAGCGTGATAGGAAAACAAGCTGCTTGCTGCATCTTGGGGCTGTGCGCCCCGCTTTCAATTCTGCAGTAAGATGGTTGTGGTGAGCCAGTTTCTATAGCTGGTTGGTGGTTTGGAACATTTTTTATTTTCCCCAATAGTTGGGATGATGATCCAATCTGACTTTCATATTTTTCGGGGGGTAGGTATACCACCAATTAGATAGGATTGTGGCCGAAAGATGCCGAAAGATATTTCCCAAAGTTAATCCCACCATGGCAAAGACGATGTATCTATTGTCGATGAACCCATCTGCATGCCGGTAATTTCGAAGGCCAGATCCGCGTTTTTTGTGTTCCAAAATCTGAGATGTCCATAGATTTCCTGATTTTCTCCAAAAAACATGCAGTTTCCATCATGTATTCCTTAAGATCATGGATTTTCTGCAGTTTTTCTTGAACATCATAGAATTTCTCAAGTTTTCCCTTGAAAACCATGGCCATTTCCCTGTTTTTCCTCAGAAAACTATGGTTTTTCGACATTTTTCCCCTCGAACATCGTGGATTTTCCCACGTTTTCCCGGGGAAATCTCCACTTTTTCACCGGCTCGCACCAAGGGCGGCCCGGTGGCGTCCTTCTTCCTGGACGCGCATCGCCGTGCGGGGCAGAAGCGGCGGGGCTTCTGGGCCTCGACGATCCAAGGCTGGTGATGTTGGGTGGTGATGATGATGATGGTAGTGGTTTATTCATATTAATGGTTATCTATGGTTATCTATGGTTATCTATGGTTATCTATGGTTATTAATGGATATTAGATGGTACCAACTGTTGATGATGGTACCATATATAGTCGTGATATAATGGGAATATTGATATTAATGATGATGATGTTGATGATGATGATGATGGTGATGATGATGCTGATGATGATGATGTTGTTGATGATGATGGTGATGTTGATGTTGATGATGATGGCGATGATGATGGTGATGATGATGTTGATGATGATGATGGTGATGATGATGATGATGATGTTGATGTTGTTGATGATGATGATGATGGTGATGATGATGATGATGGTGATGATGATGATGATGGTGATGATATGTAATAGGGACAATAGCAATAGTTACAATAATGTAAAGATAATGATACTGATTATGCTCATGATAGTAGTACAGTAAAATGGTGATAATGAAAGAAACTCAGCTGTAGTATAGTAATATAGTAATAACAGTAACACTAGATAGTAATAGTAACAATAGCAGTACTGTAATAGCCTTAATACTGGTGTATAGCAAGACGGGTTATTTTTTGAAGGTTGGTTACTATGATAACAATAATAGTGACAACATCTGTGATTATGAAGGTCGGTGACTATTGATCATATTACAGTGGTATTTCATGATATATCATGCACTTTTTTCTCCTAGTGGCAACCGTTGCGGTGATATCAAAGACATTGTAGCGGGATCTTAAAGGTCTCCATCCGTTGATACCATTTGAGCCAAGAAAGGTTGAATTTCACGATGGTTGGGGCAAACAAATTAGGGACTAAGGGGTCACGTATAGAAGAATCACATGTTTTTTTTTGGCCACCCAATATGAGATTAGGGATTTATGGGGATTCAATGGTCAATTTCATCAAGGTGCGCCACTAGAATTGGGACAACAGATCCGGTGCAGGCTACAGCGAGCTCCTTGGTGACCGCCACGGGCCCCGACGCCCTGCAGTGCACGTGGTTTGCGACCTGGAACCGCCAGAAGGTGTGACGCTGCTGACACATCAGGAGCTGGCGAAGGTTTTTAAGGCCGGGGCGACTTTGGCTGAGTTGGATGGTGGGGATATCATGGTTGGTGCATGACAGCATCGAATATATTGTGTCGACTTTGGTTGACTTATATTTCGTTTTGGTTTGATGGATCTTGATTGTGGTCAATGGGAAACTGCTGGGGCGCATGGTATGGTGGTTAGGTTGGGTATGTGACCATATTATATGACCCCTGTGAGCCGGTGAATATATGGAGATTCAACAATATGTGGGTTAGGTCTCCAATATGCACCGTCACTGTGGCTACTTAATCAGTCGGATTACTCACCGAGCCGGTTTCGAAGGTAGACCCTGAGACGTCAAATCCCAACATAATCGGATACCATTCTGTAAAGTGGGGATTCGTGCTGGTGGGGAGTCTATGGAAAAATTCATGACCCCTTATCCGTGGCCAATGGCATTTTTTGAGCTCTCAAGGTCCAATAGATCTTGCCCTTTGAACCTGATTGCCAATGGTTGAGGCTCTGAAGAGCTTACCAGCCATTGATTCCCGTTATTCGTGGTTTTTACACTCTATTCTTGGTCAAAGAACCACTTTGTTGGTCACCCATTTTTTTTGGGGTCATATTTAGTTATTAATCATGCTGACTCAAAATAGTCATTAATCATTTGTTGGTCACACATAGTCATCAATCATTCTCAACCGCTTTTTAGATTTCCCAACAGCCACCTCCGTGGAACCACGGCAGGCCTTCGGCTCGGCGTTGCGGGATCTCTTCTGCCAACAGCCCGAGGGCTTGATGTCGGGAGGTGCCAACCACCGGTGGTTTGGGACCACCGGAATCAACGGGATGGGCATTTTTTAGGATCCAGTTATTTTTAAGGATCATTTTTAGGATCAATTAACCAATGGGATATTAAGGGATATTAAGGGATATTAAGGGATATTTTCATGGTTAATGATGGTTAATAGTGGTTTTCATAATGGTTAATGAGATAACTGGTTGGTGGTTTCAAACATGAATGTTATTTTCCATGTCATAGATTGGGGATGTCATCCTTCCCATTGCCGAACTCCTCATGTTTTTCAAGATGGTTAAAATAACCACCAACCAGATCATATTCTTGGGGTTGTAGAAAGCACTTTTGAGCCGCATCGGCTTTTTTTGGGGTGGGGGTGGTTTCACAAGATGAAACAATGACGATAAATGTTCAAGAAATGGATGACGTGCCCCAAACAGTTTTGCCAAGGAAATGAGGGTTCCTCTAGACATATTGGTTTGTCGCTGGGAAATTCATGGAACTGGGGGATTTCCAATTGCTATGTTACCGGAGGGTAGGATCCAACCGAAAATGTTGAAACCTGAGGATGTTGAGAGGTTGATGGACTCTACCCACCAGGATGGGTCATCAGATGTGGCTCAGGAATGCTACACCCCCAAAAAAAGATGCCGAAGAGTTGGAATTCTGGACATTTATGGGGGAAATTCATCATTTTTGTGCCATCCTGGTTCCATAGTTTTCGGCATCTATAGCCAGACTGCTGATGGGGTGCCAGGTTTTGGACTGGAGTTGGATGTTCTGGACATGCCCGCCCACTTTATGGAGCGTTGGGCCTATGATGCCAGGACCGGACTGTTGGAGGATTGGAAGATGTCGGGATGATGGAGATGACATTTCGGTGACAAAACTGGGTGTATCTGCCCCAACCCCCTTTGGTTGTGTTATATATGGCTACTCCAAACTTACCCTCTGGTAAACTAACATAACTAGGGAAATTCACCATTTTCAATGGGTAAATCAACTATAAATGGCCATTTTCAATAGCTATGTTAGTTTACCAGAAGGTAACTCAACATTTGATATTGATAATAACATGTGGTATTTGTGCAGAAACCACTGGTTATCTCCTGGTTTTGAACATCCTCATTTTAAGTATCATTTTGTTGGGAGAGTGGAAAACGGGGTAGGTACACCCCCAAGAATTTCCCATAAATTTCAGGTACCAAACTGATCGACTCAAGCCGATTCTTGTTTGTAAAAACATAGCCATGGAAATGGGTTCACATCCCTATTTACCAGCCCACCTAGATATCATTTCAGACAATTTAAAGCTTTATAACTTCAAGAACTAGGATTTATGGTAGATATATCTATAATTCTCTATTGAATGGTGGGTGCAAACCAACAAACATATTTGCGGGGGCATCACTTTTCAATATTTTCACATATTTCTCCACATATGTCCCATTATAATCCCAGTAAGTCAGTATTTTCATGGTTAAATTTCCCACTAACAAATCATGTTTTTTCCATTTGTTAAACATATCTTCCCATATTTTCCAATAGTTTTCCCATACTTTTTCCATATTATGTTCCATAGTTTTCCCATATTTTCCGATAGTTTTTCCATACTTTTTCCATATTATTTTCCATAGTTTTCCCACATGTTCTTATTTTCTTCCATATATATAATATATATATCCATAGTTTTTCCATGGTTTTCCCATGTTTTTTCCATATATATTTTCCATAGTTTCCCAGTTTTTCTCACGTTTTTCTCACGTTTTAGTCCCATGTTTGATGCTTGTCACTTGCCATACCAGAAGCCTCCGGCGCTGCAGCCGTCACTACCAGACTGGTGAAGCGCTGCCGGAAGCGGCCGTGGAGATGTTGGCGCAGTCCAGTCACTTAGGAGGAAAAAAGATGGAGGATGCTGGGGTTATTTGTGGTGAATATGGTGGGTTTATATCTGAGAATGTATTTCAAAAACAATCATTGGAAGATCTTTATGTGGTTAATATGGTTGGTTTATCAATTATCCTCCAGCAAAGTAACATAGCTGTGGAAAATCCACTACTTGTAGATCGCTTTCATTGGGAAAACCAATCTTTTCTGATTGGTGGTTTGGAACATGGCTTTTATGACTTTCCATTCAGTTGGGAATGTCATCATCCCAACTGACGAACTCATATTTTTCAGAGGGGTAGGTATACCACCAACCAGTGGTTAATATGGTGGGTTTATGGTAGATGGTGGGATGATTTTATCTTCTACGGTTATCATTTTATCGAGGATGATGGTGGATTAAATAAGAGGGAATGTATTTAAAAAATAATCATCGGAAGACATACTTATTTATGTTTGATAAGGGGTTTTTATGTCTGGGAATTCATGAGAATGTATGTATTGTTTTCTAATCTTTGTACCATGGATATCAGAATCTTTTGGATGATGGAAGATGATTGATTTTAAAGGGACCAACATGGGGATATCTACTGTAGGAATTCACATAATTCTATGCAACCAAATTCTCGGAATATATGATGGACATCTAAATATCTAATTTATGTTTATTTCTGGGAATTTCTGATTTTATGATGATGTTTCTTTCTGGGTTTTTCGGTGATTTTTCCAGATATTGGTTGGGTTTAGAGTGATAGGATCCCCCATCTGGGACACAAGCTGCTCCATTTATGGATAACCCATAAGAAAGAACAAGGATTATGTTCCTTTCTGGGATAAAGCGTTCTGGACTTTTACGTCTTTATGATGAAGATAATATGGGATCTATTTATGATTGGAGGAGAGTATCCCAAAGATGAGGGGTGTTTGACCATTTTTGATGTTTATGAATGTGTTTACTTATTAGTGAATGCCAGTGATGTTTTTTTTCTGGTCTACTATGATTGTTTTGTGTAAGACTGCCTAATTATCAATCATTCTGCCTGATTTAGTTGCCCAACATGAGGACATTATGCAGGGGCACAATCTTTCCAACAAAATGGAGGAATCTCCGTGTAGATTCCCAAGATTCGATCAAGAAGCAGTACGGATTCAACCGGATTCAACCGGATTCAACCGCTTTGACGTGATTTAGGATTGGCAAACAAACAGATATAGGTTACCCTCTGGTAAACTAACATAGCTATTGAAATTGCCCATAGAAATAGTTGATTTACCTATTTTAAAAATGGTGATTTTCTATAGTTTTTTGTATGTTTACCAGAGGGTAACTTCCAAATCTCAGTAGGATCTCATGCCTAAGATGCGATGCATCTTTCCTGACATTGGGTGTGTTGGGTGACTTGTCACCGGCGATTCATAGAGATCCCCAGTCCCCTTGGTTGATCAAGTGAGTGGCATGCATCTGTCACGTGTTTTATCATCATATCCCCTCATCTGGGTAAATTATAACGACCTCACTGCGACCTCACTGGGAGTAAGGGTTGGTAAGGGTTAGTAAGGGAAATCATCCCCAAATGGCCTTAATTCAGGTTAGTGAAATATTATTATTTACCGAGCCCCATGAAAATGTCAATGTTTTTTAGGGTTTTCTCCAATTTCCGGAAAAACTGACTCAAATTGATGAACTATATCCCACTATATTTATATCCCCATTGATATGAAATGGTTGGTTGTATCCCCCCATTTTGGTGGTCAAATTCTCCATTTCTGAACACACCAGATTTGGCGTAAATCGCCGTCTAACTGAGGAAGCTTCTTCACGGCGAATCGCTTGTTGAAACGCTGCGCTATGGCACATGTGGACCTGGAACTTCATTCGGATTATGATCCCTTTAGCGACTTGGAAATAGGGTCTAAGGATGGGGAACTCTTGACGAATGATTCCCATTGTGGTTGGTGAAATTCCATTAGAATATCCCAATGATCATTGGTTACCTCCTGGGTTTGTCTGAAATCTGGGTACCCCTAATTCCATTGATTAATCACATCTTTTTTCTATTACTTTCTATTGAAATGGCGATTTCTAGGGGAGAGCGCGAATTTTCAAGCACACCCATGGTTCCATCTGGCTGAGTTCGGTATTTCGATGATCTACTTCTGGAGAATCCGGCTCTTCAGACTGTTTGACGTTCACAGTTTCTGTGCTTTGCCCCTTGGGGGAACTTCCAAAAGCCACACACTTTTCCTTCAAACATGCTAATCTGCTTGGTGGTTTGGAACATGGCTTTTATGACTTTCCATTCAGTTGGGAATGTCATCATCCCAACTGACGAACTCATATTTTTCAGAGGGGTAGGTATACCACCAACCAGTAATGTCATTGTATAAACAACCTCCCTGGGTAATTTTAAGACAATTGGGGGGTTCACATTCGCCAAACAGAGGCTTCTCAAAAAGCCATGGGGTGAAGGTCAAAACTGGCCCAGTGCTGTACCAAGAAGATACCAGAATCATCATCATATTGACAATGACAATGAGAACACATAACAACAATATGGATTAAATATTGTGATATTGGATTCTAGACAACACTGTGACCATAATATCATACCAATGATCATATATTGTGATGTTGAATGATCAATAAACACATAGTCCAAGATCACTAAGAATAATCCAGTAATCAACAATCCAGTAATATCATTCACAGGATTATCATATTGTAGTAACATAACCCAATAATATTGTATGATAATCACATACTCATCCAGTAATATCATTAATATTACTAATATCAATTCAACAATCATACTATTGGTCCAATAATCACTATCAATATCCAACATCAATCCAACATCAATAATCACTATAAACCATCATTAACTCCACATTAACTCAACCATCCAATATCACCCAGGTGACGTCGCAGAACGTCGTTTCTTCAGGTGACCTCAACGTCTACGACTTAGCCAAGTTGGTGGAGGCCGAATATGCCGTGATCCGCCCCCGGGTCCAGGCGGCACCTGGGGCACCTGAGTTGCAGGGGTTCTATGGCTTAGAAAAGGATGTTTTTTTTTAGATGGGTATGGATCAATACCTATACATACCATTTTTAGGGGGATGAACATCCATTTACCAGCTATTTTGATGTTCACCAGGGGTACAAGGTCTTGACACACTGCCAGATGATGTCTATGTTTTTAAACTCGACATGGCTGCCGGATTATCAGGGCAGGTGAGGCTCGGGATTTAATTTATCGTATATTTCTGTAAATTAGATGCAGATCGCGGCAAGGACCAGACTCCTTTCAAGCGCTGAATAAAAAAAAAATATATACATATGTATATATATATACATATGTATATATATATACATATGTATATATATATATATATATCTATAGTTTATATATATATAGGTGTTTTTAAAATGGGAATTGCTTTTGAAGTTTGCTGTTACATGGATTTTAGATGGATTTTACGGAAATAGCGATCATGATTCGCAGATTTGCTTGCGGAAAACACCTGTTCTTATGACTCTTGAGAAGTTGACGAATGTATCTCAGCAGACATCAGACATCAGAGGTGTTTTTGGGGGAACAGCTTTAGTTTAGACATCTTTGGACCATTTTTTTCGGCTTTTCCCAGTGAGTTAGTTCCAGGACCGGGAACTCTGCAGTCAGCCCTTCAACAGCGACGTGGCCGGAGCCTTCTATGGAGACCTCTGGTCACAAGCCTTGGCCATGGATATCTTCAGCGAGTTTCAGGGAGAGGTGCCAGGGGCACTGAGGATGATCGTCTCACTGTGAGATGTGGGATTTGACATGATTTTTGACTAGGAAAAATGGGGATGGAATATGATGGAATGGGATGTAGAATGATATACTTCACCAACTTCAGATGGATGGGTCTATCTGGAAATGGATATCAGTACCCCATATTTTGGTTGTGTATATGGCGAAATGATGATCGACCATTGGGCCGTAGATCAGTGCAGTTCCAGTTCAATCCCGGAAAAAATAAACACACGAAAAATACTAATTCACAATCCATTTACCTAGTGATTGACCATGTGATTTACCATGTAATTTACACCTAATGGTTATTTGAGTTTACTTAGTGATTGGCTAACCATACCTTGGGCAACTACTCATACCTTGGCTGTTGGGGATGATCCTGGAAGAACTCTCAGTGGATGCGATCAGAACTTCGTGTTGATTGACACAGGGTTAAAAAAAGAGATGAATGATAGATATAAGCGTGGAAAAATCACATTTTACCTCTCTATCTATAAGCGTTTGCTAGATATACCTTTAAAAAAACCAATGAAATCTCCATGTTACATGCTTAAATCATGTGAAATCCCCATGTTCACGGGTTAAATCTCCATGTTCACTGGTTAAATCCTGTGAAATCCCCATTTTTGGATGGTTCTGGTGGGTTCACCATGACCTCAGCCACAATGCCAGGACCTAGGCGTCGTGGGCCAGCGCTTCCGCAGCGCGCTGCTGCACTTTGGCGGCGGCCGGGCACCGGGGAACGCCATCCAGGTGGGAAAGTCGTGGTTTTTCCAGCGTTTTTTCCAGGGTTTTCCCATGGTTTTGGTGATTGGATGGGGATTTTCCATGGTTTTTTGATGGGTTTTTCCCCAGCAACACATGGAGAAAAAAGGGATTCTTCTGGGGATTTTCACCAGCAAAACATGGAAAAACCATTGAAACGGCCAGGAGTTTCTCCAACGCCCCGCCTCCTTCTCCTCGATGCTGTTGGACCTTGGCCTCACTGAGAGCGCCAAGATGCGCGCGGCGGAGGCGGAGGTGGCGCTTTTTTTGGTGGTTTTGGGGCGAAGGATGTCCAGTTTTTGGAGTCAAAACATTGGAAAAATGAATGGAACCATGATGACCTAGTGACCTAGTGAAAAATGATGAAGACCTAGTGAAAACATGGCGAAGAAATGATGGCAACTATAGGAAAACACGGGAAAACTGATGAATATTGAGTGATATTAAGTATATATCATATATCCATTGTTGGTTTTAGCCTTTGAATGCTAGAACATGCTAGAACTCACTTCTTGATGACAAGGTAATGACCTCTGCTGTGTGGTTTGCGCGCATCCTTTGTGGCTTCACTTGGGCATGTCTTCACAAGGGTAAAACATGGCTTGAAAGCACACAGATGGCTGAGATCAAGTGGTGTAAACAAACCTATCTATCCTATTTTGGCTCAATATGTCTTGTGGTGAGATTTGATTGTCACCTGCTGAACTGTTGTTTTGCGTGATGCTTCGCGTCAATGTCGGTTTGCTGAGTGGTCGCACTGAAGTCTTGGAAGTTGAGCGAGCTTTAAATGTGCGGGATCTGAAAGTTCTGGCCCAGAATTCTTTCCAACGGGCCTTCCTCAAGCTCGTCACTGCAGGGGGTCGTCCTTTGGTGGATCTTGATGAGTCTTTGGAAGCTGCAGGGATCCAAGATAAAGACCTCGTCACAGCCGTTCCGCTACAAGCGCAGTTGGCAGCAAATGACCGAGCCTTTGCCCTGTGGTGTCATGGAGGCGACCACGTTGTGACGTGGGGTGATCCAGAGTATGGGGCTGACAGCTCTGCAGTGCAGGATCAGTTCAGGAGCGTCCAAAAGATTGAAAGTTCTTTTGGTGCATTCGCTGCCATCCTTGCAGATGGGTCGGTTATTGCGTGGGGCGATCCTTCATATGGCGGTGACAGCTCCCAAGTTCGAGCTCAGCTCAGGAATGTACAGCAGATTCAAGCCGCGAGCAGCGCATTTGCCGCTATCCTTGCTGATGGATCTGTGGTGACGTGGGGCAATCCATTCAATGGTGGGGACAGCTCCGCAGTCCAACATCGCCTCAGACATGTGCAGCAGCTTCAAGCCTCAGGGGATGCGTTTGCTGCCATCCTAGCTGATGGATCCATCGTTACATGGGGCAATCCTGCCAATGGTGGTGACAGCTCTGCGGTTCAAGACCAGCTTGCAAAGGTACAACAGGTGGCCTCCACGGGTTACGCATTCGCAGCCATCGTTGCAGATGGTTCGGTTGTTTGTTGGGGCAACCGCAAGTATGGTGGTGACTGCTCTCGTGTCCAGACTCAGCTGCAGAATGTCAAGCATATTCAGGCCACAGACACTGCCTTCGCTGCCATCCTTGCGAATGGTTCCGTGGTTTCTTGGGGCGAGCCAGGATGGGGTGGTGATAGCTCTGCAGTCCAAGATCAGCTCAAGAGCGTGCAGCAGCTTCGGGGCGCCAATTACGCCTTTGCTGCCCTTCTGCAAGATGGTTCGGTTGTTAGCTGGGGTGCTTCAGATCATGGTGGGGACAGCTCTCCAGTCCAACATCTGCTCAAGCATGTACAGCAGCTTCATGCCACTCAACTGCAGACTGCTTTTGCTGCCACCCTGGCTGATAGATCTGTCGTGACGTGGGGCCGTCAAGAGTTTGGAGGTGACAGCACGGCCGTGCAAGACCAGCTTCGAAATGTGTGCCACATTCAATGCTCAGGCTATGCGTTCGCTGCCATCTTGGAAAACGGCTCAGTGATCACGTGGGGCCATCCAGAACGCGGCGGTGACAGCTCTGCTGTCCAAGAACAATTTGCAGCTTTGTAGCAAAACTACGCAAAAATTGCATTCATGTGAGCCACAAGCAAGCATGGTCCACAGATGTGTACAGTTGCGGCCGGTTGCAGTTGTGTCCGTTTCGCGCGGGCCAAACCTGTGTATTTAGGTACAGCTATGCAACTTCTCAGTGAATGTTAACCTCAGGCAACTTCATTCTTAATTAACACTGGTTGGTGGTTTGGAACATTTTCTATTTTTCCATATATTGGGAATAATCATCCCAATTGAATTTCAGATTTTTCAGAGGGGTTCAAACCACCAACCAGTGAACATACAGCTGTTTTTTCCCTACGGCGAAGCAGTTTGCAGAGTTTCGCCAATTGATTCAGCTTTGCCCGCATAGACAGCACCAAAGTCCGGGGCGGGTTTCCCAACAACCGGGCAATGATTGAATAGTTAGACGTGGGAGAAAAGTTTCAGTGAACAACCCGGCATTTTTGACAAATCCATAGTGCTGAATACATCCCCGTTTTGGGTCTGAAAATGAACGATTGCCTAGGAGGATGATGATCAACCATGGCATTTAGGGGTACCCCATTTTAAGCCAAAAGCATTTTGGGTCGATTCTGCCCGGTTCAGGTACCAGAAGAGCAAGATGTGGTGTCTTTTGAGGACGTCTATCCAGACGGCGAAGAAGACGAGGACGATAGTTACGCAGAGTTCGAAGATTACTGAAAAAGCTCTGCGACAGGAGTTCTCCAACAGACCAATCTTGCGAAGCTGACATCAATAACTTTGTGATGGTGGATGGTTGTGAAACACCATATGGGGATGGGTCAAAAGTCAAAACCTATTATTACCATATGACTGGGGGAATAAACATCCATTAAGCAGCTATTTTAGGGTGCCCATTAACCATATAGCCTCAACAAGAAGAGCTCCTGTTGAGAAAATGGTCGAACCCCCCAAGGTGTTCTGCACCAGGGCCTAGCAGCACTCGGTTATGGCCAGAGAATCACCGAAATTGGGTTGCCAACGAAGCATGAGATGTGTCAAACGACAAAGGCACCGAAATTGGGATGTTTCCTAAAATAGGGGCACCCCCAAATCATCCATGTTATTTTCGGATTTTCCCTAAAATAAACCATCCAGCTAGCTTGGAGTACCCCCCATGGCTATGGAAACCTCCAGTTTTTACATAAAACAGGTGCACTTCATGACTTATGGATTCCATCAATGTTGGGATGCATCCAGCTAAACCAGGTTTTTTTTTGACTTCAGCAGTGCCACCCGTCCACCGCAAAGCATTGAAAGATCTCCAAAAAAATGTAGCTGGGCTTGTGCGAAAATGGTGGAGTCAAAGCAATCTATGGCAAAAATGGTCGGAAAAAGGATTGATTCACTAGTGGAATCAGGTTTCAGACATCTTGCCACCTGGAAATTTAGGGCCCAGAATGGGGCCATCTTCACCCATTTGCAGCCATTTTTCAAGCCGCATGGGCGCCACAAAACAAGGTTCCGTTTGAGGCGGGTAACAAGCCATCGTCTACGCAAAACCATAGACAGACTGTCCTACAAAAAAGAAGATCAGCAGCAAGCGAAGAAGCCACGACAACCCTTCATGATATGATCATGATATGAACGAATCATGCTTCATATCCAGCACAATCGTAAGAATTGGTAGCATGTTAATTTAATCGTTTCCAGCCATAGATGTTAGAAAGCCACCAGCAGCTGTCGATCCGTCGAGTCGTCGTGATCCACCGGTCATGGCATGGACGCTGCGGGTTGGCGTCATCCTTGCCATCAGTGAGGTGACATGGGGATTACCCTCTGGTAAACTAACATAACTATGGAAAATTGCCATTTATAGTGGATTTTCCCATGAAAAATGGTGATTTTCCATAGTTTTTTGTATGTTTACCAGAGGGTATGGGGTATGCTGAAGCCGTTTGGATTATGGATCAGCTCCGGTTTTCAAAATGGTCCCATTTTGACACACAAAAAAGCCAGACTCCATAGTGGATGTGTCCAATGAGGAAGATGAGATCCTCCACACTTTGGGCATGGTCACTTGGGAAACCTGGCCATTTGTAGATTGGTGGCATCTCGATACATCATCTTGATGGTTTTACTAGTACTAATATCTAATAGCAATATCATGTAATATTTATAGAATACATATATATATATACACATAAACAGATAGATATAGATATAGATATGTACATAAACAGATAGATATAGATATAGATATAGATATGGATATAGACATAGACATAGACATGATAGATCTACTGGTACATATAGCAACCCGCTGTGTGCTGTGCCGCTCAGCGCGCTTGGCGCTACTGGAACGCGGAGTTGGTGGAGCCATTGGAAGAGCCGCCCCGGGAAACTCCGTGGGGGCACGCAGCGGTGACAGAACAAGGGGATTCACCAGCAAAAAACGAGGACGAGAGGTTGATGGTTGATGGTTGATTTACTACCAGATGGTTGATGCTTTTTTTTTTCCGCCAGTTTTTTGGAACTACTGGTACCAGACTTGACGGTAGATTTACTGGGTAAAATGCATGTTGGAAGATTTGATTTTGCCCAGAAACATACATTTTACCGACGACTAGCGTAGTTTTGCCAGCAAATATGGTGATTTTACTTTAGCAAAACACATGTGGTTCTTTATTTGATTTTACTAAGGCAGGATAAAATTGGGATGTACTACCAGAAAACGTGATTTTAATTTCTGCCAACATGTTTGGAGTAAGGACTTGCCCTTTCCCAAGGTAAGATTTCACTGCCCGAAATTGGGGATGTAGCCTGCCACGTCAGATTCACCACAGGGTTGCAGTCAGGAGACAGGGCGGTTCATTGAAAACTAACGAACACAAGGTTTATTGACGTCGTCGTCTGACCTTTTGTTACCCTTGAATTCCTAAAAAACCCGAAAGATATACATTATAGATCATTATGGATATACTTAATTAGAAAGATATACATTAATATATATATATATTAACATAGATTAATCATTAATATACATTATAGATATAATTCCAAGCCATTTTTCTCAATTTCTGGGCTGAAGATCCCATCGAAAAAAAACACCCAGGGGATTCCCATCCCAGGAGAGGCGATGAATCGACCCACAGGTGCATCCTGGGAGACCCGGTCCATATGGGTTTAAGGATGTCTAAGGTTGAGGTTCATATATATATATATATATTATATATAATATATATATATATATATATATTCATACCTGGGAATATTTTTTTTTCCGACTTTCAGAATTTCAGCCGGTTTCGGAATTTCGGAATTTCGAAAAAGAGATGTTTCTATTTGCAACATTTTGCTTACAGTTGGTAAGGTTTCAAAAGAGAAGTGCCCAATATGGGCATGGCATGGATCAAATTTGAGTGCCTGGTTATACCTTGTCCAATGCTGAGATGCAGACAACATCTGTGGTCGCAGTGGAAATTCTTTATGAATTCCAGAGCTAATGTGGGTTCCATGTCTGGGTTTGTGTTTCACGGCCTTATTTCAGAAGGATAGCTGGGAGAATTTCTATCAAGAGTCCTGAACCTTAAAGATCTAGTGTCGGACTCATGTGATTTTTTGATGAACGATTCCAATTGCAGGTGTAGGTTATACGTATTACTGTATTACTGTAACATCCATTATGTTATCATACACTATAACAATGATGATTGGTTAGTGGATATCCATTATGATTATGTTTATCATCCACTAACAGTATCATCCATTGTATCATCCATCGCATCATCCACGACATCATCTATTATCTAATCGATGGGTTTGACGACCATAAATACCATCTATCATCTATGGATCATCCATAAATGATATACAGATATAATCTATGGATCATCGACCAGTAGCTTTGTATCACCCTGGTTGCAGAGGGCTTTTCTCCAGTCAGTCGACCCGAAAAATCCTGGGAGGTTTCAGGACTTTTTACACCATGACTTCACCTCTGACGGAGCCGCGGGAACCGCGGGTTCCGGGATTTTTTTCTGGCACGGAGGGCTCACTACGGAATCATAAGTGGCTTGTTTCAGCCCAGTTGATTTAATGATTCAGTAGGGTAGGTTTACATCAAGTAGATCTTGGGAAAACGAGGAAAATGATCCATCAAGATCAACGGGATGAACATGATGGGCTCAAGAAAATATCATTGGATCCAAACGAACAGTTTGCCCAACATGGTGTGCTTACGGACTGGCAATTGCCTCATTTGATGGGGTTCGAAGCTGAACGGAAGGGGAACTTATCCTTTCCTATTTCTCAGGTCCAGCTGTTGATTCCATAAACATTAATGATACTTACTGATGTTTGCATCGTTTTGTTCATGAATTCTATGCTCATGTTTGCTTCTTGATTGTGCCTGGCTGATTTATGCACTTACTCATGTCATTGTTGTTCGTGGCTATACCTCATTTGCAACAGGCTGTGTGCAAAGCCAGTGTTGATTTGTTCTTGAATCCATTTTGCTTGGCTACTTGTACATGCCACCTTTCTTGATGACACCAGCAAACTGCGGGCATGACACCATTTGCTAGGAAAAACCTTGGTCTTCTTGGGTTGGGTAGCTTGATAGTTTATCTTCTGCATTTTTTTTGCCATGAATTCGGGTACACACTACCAGCTAAGAAACATGCAGGGTACCGAGGATTGGCCCTTTGATTGCTCGTTTCAAACAGTCTTATTTTCCCCTGATCTTGGGAGGATGATCTAGACTATCTCAACATATTTTTCCCGGGTCAGAGGGCATACTCAAAACCACCAGCCAGTTATGAAAATTGATTTCTTCCTAGGGAACTTGTTTGCGGAAATCCCTAAATGATTGGGTAAATCGATAGTTTGCTGTAGATTGTCCCCATAGATGCCATAGACCAAGCCATAGATTTCTGTTGCTTCCCACCTTTCTTGATGGTTGAAGCAGCAGAAAAAACTCCAAAACCTTGAAGGACTGGTGCCGACCTTGTTGATGCTTCTGCTACTTGGAGCATTGGGCCGGGTATACTGTACCAGATGGGCAATCAACAACCCAGACCTCGGAACTCAGTGGCACAGTGGCCGTCCAGTAGCATCAAGGGGGCAACCAAGGGATCCTCATTTAGACCAGAGTGAAGTGAGTGGGCCTCAAATCTTCAGTTGATGTGTCAGAATGTGTTGATGATCCCCAAAGCGGATTTTGGTGTTCACATCGCCACGCTTTGTTGACATTTGACATGGTGTTCAAGCTATATACAACATTATACAACGTCTATTTTGGCGTGGAACCACATGGAACCACCTGACCTTCGATGATTTCCCCAGCTAGTTAACCACCCTGTGGGGGATTTCCCGGCCATGACTAGTCAACCCCCTGGCGCCGAAGGCTCTTGGTTTTGGATGTACTTGCCTTGGCGGCATGTGCAAGGTGCGATTCACACCGCCTTTCCCCGGGATGGTGTTAAATCATGGCCCGAAATGGGTGAAGACCTTGGGAAGTCGTGGGTGTGTCCGAAAATGGGCTATACCCCAAGATTCCGTGTTTTTTAATGGGACAATTTTCAGACACAGCCACTTCATGAACATGGTAATTCGACTAAAGAGCTGAACTGGCTAAGTAGGATTCGGAATCAGTTTACCAGATGGTGGCCGACGAACTCACGGGGACAGCATAGCCTGCGATTTGGGAGAGATAAACAGCAAGTATCTGGGTCAATCAGACA